TCATAGCAAGGTGTTGGATGTATTATTTCAAACCTAAATGTATGAAAAATTGCAGAATGAAAAGTGGAACTTATTTTTACCACTGCTGAAATAATATTGTGTGTAATTATGCATAATTATTATTTGGTCAAATTACAAAATACCAGGTTTCACAATGCTCACCTGAATTGCTTTCCTGAAAATTTGGGCGGAAACATAGGTTGTATTATACACAGGAGAAAAAGTGACCAGGCAGTAGTCTTGACTTTTTACATGGTGAAAATTTTCACTGAAAATCATTGTCAAAATAGTGAAATGAAAATTGTAAACAGGATAATTTTTATTATGCAGATTTTGTTTTTTTTTTTAAATCTTTTTTTTATCTTATAGCAATACTTTTATCTCATGATGCAATCTAACTAAGGGATTATGATTAAAAAAATTTAGAATCTAATTTACTTCCTCAGGAATCTTATATTAGCTTAACTTGGAATTTTGTGACCCATGGACAAAATCTTTTACATGGACATGTATTTATGTGAAATATTGTTTTTACAAAGGAAAAAAGAGGCAACCATGAAAAAGAAAGACTAAAGAAACTGGATGAAGAAATAAAAGAAATGAAAGATGGCCTTTTACCAGAGGCCAAGGAAGGAATGGACCATTTTCTGGCAAATATCACCGCCAAATGTAATTATTTGACACATAAATAGCACCGCCAAATGTAATTAACATGATTAAAGGTGACATAAATTATACAGCCAAATGTATACTAGATGTATCACAGTCAAATGTAATTCAGTGAAGCACAAATCAGATGTCATAGTTGAATGTTATTAAGTGAAGCACTTAAGAATGTAATTAAATTGTGAAGCACAAACCAAACTGATTTTCATGTATTTCCTTTAAAGTCTCTGAGGCGTTATCAGTAACCATGAATTATTTATTATTTATCTTGCAGTAAAAGTTGCAACAGAGGTTTGTAAGAGAGTCGAGGAAAAAGAAAACAAAGTAGATGTAAGTGCAAATACAAATACAACTCTCAATCACCAATATCTCAAATACCCTGGATATGTCAGAGTGATTTGGAAGACCTAAACTATTAAAAAACAATAACCAAGGGTTAATATCTTATGACCAGGACATATCTGGCAGTAGTGCTGAGAGGATTTTATTTCTCTGTCAAGTTAAATTTGCAATCAGATTAAACTTTGTATTTACTGTTATAGTCAATTCTAACAATAGAATCTTAGTTTGTTGTGCATGTATCATGTGCAGGATTTGTAATGTATTCTAGTAGAATTTTACTTAAGGTGCCACCAGTTTAAAATTTATTTTTGCTTTCTCTATTTGTTCTGCAGACAGAATTTATAGAAAAAGAACGTGAGCGACGAAAAAGTGATTGGACAGAATTCTTGGCTCGTCAGTATGAAACGTGTGACCAAGTGGATGCCGAATTTTCTGAACAAGCAGATATTGTAGCAAAACATTATGAAGATCTTGAGAAAAATCTAACAGCTATAAACAATGCTACTCCTTAACATTCCTTTAATGTTACTAATGTCAGGATTCTATTTGAGTTTCTGTTGATTTGATCTTTTATTGTGGTTTTTATATATACACTGTACATGTAATATATAATTGTTGAATTTTATAGGTGCAATAAATTTAACATATAATTTTGCATATTTAGTAATCTAATCATAAACAGATGTAGATATATCTGCCTTAGCTAAAAGAAACTAAAAGAAAATTCTTTATATACAAATAATTTAATCATCCATTAAGTCACCTATCATGATGGATGTGGGTTTACATGTAATTAGAATGGATGAGAAAGTAACCAGAGGCTACCTGCAGATATTTATACCCCCGCTCCAAAGGAGAGGGGGGTATACTGTTTTACCCTTGTGTGTCTGTCTGTCTGTCTGTGTGTCCGTGTGACCATAACAAATTTTCTTCGCAGTTTGCTCTGCAACTACTCATCGCAGATGCTTGAAATTTTAACACAATCTTCTCTGAGGCATGCCATATGGTGGGATACATTTCTGTTCAAATCTGATGTCAACTTCCTGTTTGTGCGTCTGTCCGTTTCATACATAACAAATTTTCGTCGCAGTTTTCTCAGCAACTACTTATCGCATATGCTTGAAATTTTAACACAATCTTCTCTGAGGCATGCCATATGGTGGGATACATTTTTGTTCAAATCTGATGTCAACTTCCTGTTTGTCTGTGCGTCTGTCCATTTTATACATAACAAATTTTCGTCGCAGTTTTCTCAGCAACTACTCATTGCAGATGCTTGAAATTTTAACACCATCTTCTCTGAGGCATGCCATATGGTGGGATACATTTTTGTTCAAATCTGATGTCAACTTCCTGTTTGTCTGTGTGTCTGTCCGTTTCATATATAACAAATTTTTGTCGCAGTTTTCTCAGAAACTACTCATCGCAGATGCTTGAAATTTTAACACCATCTTTTCTGAGGCATGCCATATGGTGGTATACATTTTTGTTCGAATCTGATGTCAACTTCTTGTTTTTCTCTGTGTCTGTCCATTTCATATATAACAAATCTTCATTGCAGTTTTCTCAGCAACCACTCATTGCAGATACTTGAAATTAATTAAGTGGTCTAAATCCTGCTGGTTAAACAAAACATTTTCTTTACTAAATATAGCTTCTTCTTCAGGTTCATGGACACTGATAAGAGGGATATCTCCATATTATAAATAACTTTATATCTTCCTTCATGTAGCTGTCCATTTCTATAAAATGAATAACTTTTGGCAAGCAAGTTCTTCTGCAACTCTACAGGTTGTTGGATTGATCCCCAAGAAGTTTACGAACTTCCGAGGGATCAATCTCTTAAACAGTGGTAATACAGAACAACTTGTCAACCAAAAGTTATTCCTTTATAAGTGTCTTGATGAAGATTTATGAAACTTATAGCCAAGATAAAAATATTCATTTTTTGCATTGTAAATTTATATTCCATTTGGGATATTATGTCCCAAATGGGCTATTATATCCCATTTGGCCGATTAGTCCCAACCTGTACAGTTTTCGTATGATTTCAATATGACTTAGCACACAAAAAGACTACACTAAGTTACATAATTCTGTTTATCGGATTTTGGTGAATGGTGTCGCTGTGGTTACTAAAAATAGAAATTTCTGTGAAATACTTTAATAAATATGCTACTCTAAATAGTTTAATTCTGATTATGATATAATGTGGCATGCAAGTAGACTACAGATACATGTACATATTTTTATGCTCCCGTAAATGAAGTTTCGGGGGTATATAGTTTTTGTCGTGTCCATCTGTCTGTCTGTCTCTCTGTTTGTCTGTTTGTCCGCAAAAACTTTAACCTTGCCCATAACTTTTGATTTAGTGGAGCAATGACTTTCAGATTTCACAGGTATATTCCATGTGACAAGACCTTTCTTTGGGTACCACCAAATTTGACCTTGACCTTGGAGTTTGACCCATTTTTACATGAAAAATTTTAACTTTTACTTTGGCCATATCTTTTGAACAGTAGATACCAGGACATTTATACTTCAGATATGTAATCTTTGTTGAAAGACCTTTTATTGGATACCAACAATCTTTACCCTTTGACATTGACCTTGTAAATTTCCGTACTTGTAAAAAAATTTTAACCTTGGCCATAACTTTTGAACAGTAAGGGATAGGGCTTTCATACTTCATATATGTAATCCTTGTGAGAAGACCCTTCATTGGATACCTAGAGCTTTGTCCCGTTGACCTTGACCTTTGAGATTGACCTACTTTAAAAAAGCAAGCCTTGACCATAACTTTTAAAGGGTTAAGGCTAGTGCTTTCATACTTTACATATTTAATCCTTGTGACAATACCTTTCATCTGATAACAAGAATTTTGACCCTTTGACCTTGGAGTTTGACCTTCTTTAAATTTATTCTTGGCCATAACTTCTGAACGGTTAGGGCTTTCATACTCTATATAAGTATTCTATGTGGCAAGACCTTTCGTTTGATACCAATTACATTGACCTATTGACCTTGGAGATTTTTGTACTTATTGAAAAAACGTTAACATTGGCTTACTTTCAAATTTCACAATTGTTTTCCAGTGAGAATACCTTACTTTTGATACCAATTAATTAAATTTGCATTTAAGAAAAGTTTAATCTTTGCTATGCTGCCATACGGGGGCATCAGTGTTTCACAAACACATCTTGTTCTTTATGTTTTTTTTATTTTGATGAATGATGTTGCCATGGTAACTAAAATTGAAATTATTGTAAAATTTTATTAAAAGCTACTCCTACATTGTAGTTTTATTGCAACCTTGGCACAAAAAGAGACTAAATCAAGGATCATTATTCTATTTGTTGCTATTCTAAAGTTTCAATTCCCAACTGCTACTTTTCCTTAATTATACAAGTACAAACCAGTAGAGCTAAAGTCTTGACAGAGACTTCTAGTTTAATGTTAACCTTAGTTTATACAGAATAACTTACTTTAAACTTGAAGGAAAGACTAACAGAAAATATATTTTAAGGCTGATTTTAATGAAGATAAAGTATCACAGATTTATGAACAGAAGCAATTACATGTACAACGTCTAATGACTTATAGTGTTCTTAGGCATTTAAACAAAATAAAGCATCAAAATGAAAAATTCCAATGTAAATAAGACCAAGTTATTATTTGAATAAAATATCAGTGTTAAAAGAATAGGATATGAAAAGAATTCATCTTCATAAACAAACTGTAATGACAGAACTTGTGTACAATAACTAACGATGATGAATCTGTTCTGTTATTAATCAGAAAATGAAACAAAGAAAAATTTTCACGAAGTAAGTATGTTAACATACCCAATAGTGATTTTTACAATGAGTCATTTACATTTTAAACCTTTATATCAAATGTCTTGAGTAATAGATCTACTCATGTACAGGATGCCAAATGCATTAAATCAGATAATTTGGAGTATTTAATATTACATGATAAATTACAAGGCATGAAATTATTTTCCATTTAGACTGTTCTTCCAATAAGAAATTTTTTTTGTAAGTTCATATTTAAACAAACACATATGTGCTGACACTCAACAAAATGTAAACAAGTGACCATCTCTATTTATAGAATGGTTAAAACCATTCTTCTCTATGTCCATAAGATGGGAAACCCCCAATTCTCATGTCCCTTTAACTGAATTCCCTGTTTCTCAGTACCATTGGAGCGATCAGTGTCCAGAGATACAGGACCACACACACCCAGGAGGACACGATCTTCACCCACACTGAGGGCATGTTGGCATTCAGTGTCTTGAAGTCAGAACTTGGGCTGTAAAAGAACATTTGTAGAGACTACATGTACTATCTATTTACAAGAAAATCAGTTTCTTAATACAGTATCCACAACTCCAGGTAAATAATTTCTATTTCATACATATATACAAAATCAAAGGCCTGAAGGGCCTGCGAGTTGACTCGCTCGAGTCAATTGAGCTTTTTCATACATCTGGGCACCATACCTTAATATATTCAGTTTATTTTGCATCTTAAGAGATTGAATATTATATGTTTGATCCATGTTCGGTTCATAAATAAAGTGTATATTGCTTTTCCGTTATATATACTTGTTGGCACTGATGGGCTTCCGTATTATTTTGACTGGATTCTATAATGAATTTTAAGCACATTAGCTGAAGTGGTCAGTGTTATGGAATAATTAGGTTAAAGATTCCCACAGCAAATCTGGATTCTAAAAATAGATTTTCAACAACAACTAACTGCAGCTAATGAGAGCAGCAGGTGTTTGTGTTAGGGAGTATTCTAGGTCAATTATAAATGAACTTCAGATGGGAAGATTAGATCCACCTAACATGCTTGAACATATATTCATACGCAGTAATTGTACATTGTACAGATATTTAATCAAAAATTTCTTTAAAAGCATGAAGGTATAAATAATGTTACAGTATGAAATTTTATACAGTTTTTACCTCTTAAATTTATACAATCACTTAAACCAATGCATTTTTTGCTAGAACTATTATATTTGGCGTATGGATCACCTTGATGAATGCGTGATAAATTTTACAGCTCTGAAACGGCTATGTCAACAGGGAGTAGCTCGCTACGCGAGCCAACTCAAAAAAGCAAAACTATTTAGGCCATGCAAAGTTAATTCCTAGGTTCTCGGGATTTTTTTCAAGAAATATGATGAGGGAGGCATTTTTTTAAAAATTTTTTATTGCCCCAAAACATGATGAGGCAGCTTTTTACATTGTACAAAACCTCAAAAAATGATGAGGGAGGTGATTTGTTGTTTTATTTTATTGATTTAGCAATAAATAGGGTCAATAAGGCACCCTTAGAAAAAATGAGAACCAAGAAATTATTTTTTTATGGCCAAAATCAATACCGGGTATATATTTTTGGCCACACCCGTACCTGTTGGCAAGTCCATTCAACTACCAATATTTGATAGAGAAGACTAATACCGGTATATGAATTTGACTTTACCTGTACCTGTGCATTAGTCCATAGTCAGACATAAAGGTAGCATCACCAATGTTTGTGTCAGAGCATGTGTAGATTGAGACATACATTTGACCCAGTCTGTATCTGTTGGTAAATCCAAGTTGAGACGTACATTGCACTCAGCCTGTCATTAACTGTCAGCCCACCTGATTCAAATGTACATTTTATCCAGCCTGTACTTGTTGGTTGTCCAGACTGAGTCATATGAACTTGGCCTTACCTGTTGATTAGTCCTGACTAATACACAACCTTGACCTTACCTGTACCAGTTGGTGAGGGTCATCATCACGTAGAGTGATGCCAGAGCCAGCATGAAGTGGAAGAAGGAGTAGCTGTAGGCCACGCCCTCTTCTTCATTGTCCCACACATGTTGTTTCCCCTTCTCCTCATCACCAGAGTCAGAGGCACCTGTAAATAAGTACACATGTAAACAGTCATCAGTGTTTTGTTCTGTTCTCCACTTCATTGAAATACATTGTAGCTGACTGAAACTGAAGAGGCACTGCGGGATAGAAGCTTCATTATGAAAGAAGAGCTTAGCTATAACATTAAAGCTGTTTCACATTTTTTTGCTAACTGGAAGTTCTATCATTATCACATCAATATACTTTTACTTTTATAACAAAAGGATTTATGTACTAGTTTTCAGTAAATACCGTAACACACTACCTGAGCAACTGCGTCAAAGACAAAGAAATATCCTATTATAAGTGCAGACAGAAATTTAAAAAAAATTAAGAAAAGATAAATTTAATAGATAAAGACATCACAAAGAATACATGAATCTCTAAAAATTACACACCCCTTCCAATCAGACTTTGATAATTTAAATGTAATGGTTCTATAATTTGAAAAGAAATTTAAATGTACAGTACTGTGGTATTCAAAATCTGAAAAGAAGGGAGTCAATTCAGTAACTTTCTGGTTAAAATATGAGATGTCAAAAAGCATACGCTGCTTAAACACATGCTTAAATTATTCATACTTAAATTTATAAAAGGTATAACAAATATTATAAACTTCAACACTAAAGTAAAGGTATTAAGATCAAAACTCAATATTTCAGTTGCTCTTCACATGAGAATTATTTTATTATTTACATGTAACTATGTGATAAATAAACATTGTGAGAACTGACTGCATTTTATTATCAATGAAAATGGCTTTATATGATTTATAAATTGAGCATATTTATCAAAATTGTCTGTTCTATTTCTTTCTAATTTAATGAAATATTCTTCTTTATCCAGACCACTGTGTGATTATTTCTGACAATATTTTACAGAAATTCCCTGTCCATAAGGGTGTTAAAAACAGGCAGCTGTTGTCGTTTTGTGTTTCTTTATGAGATTCAAAGGTATAAAATCTACTCTACAGGGTTTCAATGAGAAACAAATCTCAATTTCTTGCCCACACTATGAAACAGGAAGACTTCTCAGAATTTCTTAAAATAAATTTAAGGCAAATAAGCACAGATTTTACTGAACATTTACTCTAGGATTTATAAAGTGCTAGCACTTCCATGACCTGAAAGTAGCATTTTAGTTACATATTATATATAACATGTACAAGAAATGCTACAATTAATCAAATTTACTGCTTTCTGTTACAATCAACAGCTGCCTCTTATTTTCAAATAGATTAAAATTCAAGTATAGGAAATACACACATTACTGCTTTGAGAGTAAGTACATGTATACTTAAGTAAAGTAAGGATATGTTCTCAACACTGACCAAACTCTTCTACTCACCCTTATAACTGTCGCCTGTCAATTCCAATACCAATGCAAACAATTATACATGCAATTCCTAATTTATTTACAATTATCTTGTAACAACTCAATATCAAAATTGCATTATTTATTGCATTTATGCATTGTGCATTCCCTAATGTAGATTTTCCAAAGGGTTTGGAAAAGTTTTGGAATTTCATGGAATTCCAATCATTTCTATACCAAACCTGAAAAGTGTGTCTGGAAGTTTATGGAATATTATGGAATTTGAAAAAAAAAATGGATTTAGACATTTTTTGGCTTGGAAAGTAGTGGAATTCTTTGGAAAAAATGATAAAATGAGAAACTTAGCCATTTTATGCACTGGAAAACTGTGGAAAATTACTTAGAATTTTTTTTATCTGTCTACTAATAGTACAATAACATCGGGATCGAAGTCGGGCTCGATGAACAATTAATTTTAAACAACACGCCGAAATTCAAAAATATCAAATGCCATGTTGATTTTGCACAGAAGGAAAGTTGGAAAGAGAGTGTCTAGAACAGGGGAATCATGATTAGCTTGGGATGGAAGAAGATGAAGACATTTTAAGACCCGGTAGGTACAAAATTGTACAGTATTTTATGTGCCCTTGAATGAAGAACGCTTCTGCTGCTGTTCATTAAATAGTCTGGGCACCACACATAATCTGCCCGATGGTGAAATCATTAGTGCACTATTTTAATTTTGTAATAATTATTTAACAACTCTAAACATATCGTTAAGATCTTGGATTTTAACCCGAATTTCTTCGTTTGGGATCGAACTGATGTAAAGAATTTTACCTGTACCTTCCTTTGTTTAAGATAATATTTACAGAGTATGATGTACAATGTGATTAATTATATATTTTTTAATGCATGTTCATGATCATTTTCAGCTTTTATTTTAATTATTTTATAGTTGCTGCATTGTGCCTGAGATCCCCAAAGCGCTGGCGTTTGATAACTTGGTGGACGTAGATGCTTAGCCAATCAGTCACTAGGCTTGTGAATATGGTGAGAACTAGCTCAAATTATCATTCAATTCAAGTAAACTAACTTTGATTTTATTAATCCATGTCTATTAGTATTAGATTAGGAAAAAAAAAATATTGCAACTTTGCCAAGGAAACAAAATTTAAAGGTTTATATTCTTAACACGCTTAAATTCCTTATTCTAATAATTTAAAACAATAAATTCGGACAGGTAATCTAAACATGCTAACTGCACAGGCATGCATAATTATTTTAGATCAAATAGCAATCATCTACTATGAAGTATATATGCATTTTACAGGAATCCGGATGCTCACAAGGAGAAGAGCTGTATGAAAAAAACCAAAAAGGTCAGATTTCTTCATTATTTTCTATTGTTTTGTATAGCTTTAGTTTATTATTTGTCATATACTAGTATTTATATGGATATCAATAATGATGCATCTTAATGGTCATCTTTTCTTTCAGAAATTGTGCAAGGAAAGTTTGAAGTGTCTGTGGGTATTATCAACATCCAACTCTCTGAGCCTTCGTACTGAAAGTGAATCCGTTCCTGACACCAGTTTTCTGTCAACCCTCTAACATGACCATTTACTAATTTCATAGGATATCAGTGAGGAAGTGATTCTCTTGCAAACACGTCAGAAGTTTTGGATCATTAATCGGGATCTTTGGCACGTACATTGGGGAAAATAGCATCTGTTGATTTTATGGGATCTTTGTATCAATATATTTGTGTAGTACATTGTCATATTTTTTGCATTTAATACATGTGTTTGTCACTCTAGTCATTAACTTTGTACCAGTACATAAGCCACTGGCAGTTCATTGTAAATGTATACCCTGTTGAGGTTTCAACGGCCTTTTCAATTCCATGGCCAATGTCATTTAATAAAACTAATTTCTTATTTTAGAAAATGTAGACTGGAGTTTACTAAATACATGTATATCATAACATGATTATCATTAATTTAACCAAGGTGACTGATTCTCCAGTAATCATATTTTTCTCTGGATATTTTTGTAAATAACCTTAAGCTTTGATGTAAAAATACTTTCAGTGAGAATACATTTAAAAAATGTGCTTAGATTGTACACCTGAGTGTATATGCAATATTTGTCTCAAAAAACATTGTAAAAGAAACAATGAATTTTTTATTTTGAAAATATAGAGTTGATCTATGAAAAATTTTGATGTTATTAAGTTTTTTGGTAATTATGTGGCACTAATTATTTCAGTTTTCATTGTACATGTAATTTGAGTTTGGAATCCTGGAATTCCATGGATTTCCATGGAATTCCTTAGATTTACAAATATCCTGGAATTCCACGGATTTCCTCCGCAAATTTCCATTGTGGAATTGTTCCACTCTTTTCCAGGCTAGATTCAAAATTCCAAATCATTCCGAAAAAAGTTCCATCCCAATACTCCGAAGAATTCCTAAGAATTCTGCGGAACAAAAATTCCATGGAATTCCATGGAATATGCCTTGGAATTCCATGGAAGTTGCGGAAAATCTACATTAGGGTTGCTTGTATATGTTTGTTCATTAATACATGTACTGTAAACCAACTTTTATTCGCGTGCAAGAAATATTCGCAAGTTCCATAACCTACTTTTATCCGCAAATATTAATCATCGCGAACCATTAATTTTGACAAGTATTTGTAGAGAATGTTTTCTCGGTCATGAAAATTAATTGTCATGGAATGATTTCAAACTAAAGCATCACAGTTGGTTTACAGTAAACCTGGGAGTGGGAACTGTATAACAAATTACCGGTACACTAGCTCACTATAGGTAAAGTTTCATGTCATGTAAAAACCAAACGAAAACCCTCCAATATCTATTCTATTTCTAAACCTACCCTATATTTTTTAGCAAAAGATAACTTTGAATGTATGTGCTCAGGAAACATATTATATAATACAGTGTACCTGTAATATCCTCAAAGTTTTATATCAGGGTATCGTTATTCTTGCAAGTTAATGTATACATGTCATACAATGCATATTATATTACATGTATTCTTTAAAAGTGGAAAGAAGGTTAAAAGCAAGCAATGATTTGCAGCTGGAAAAATATGTGTGTATTTATTATAGTGTAAAAATGCATTGTCAAATGTAACTGTGAAACACAAGGACAATTACAACATCCATAAGACAAGCATCTTATCTAAGACCTTATAAATGGAATGCATGCAATGCTTGCAATCTCTGAACCAAATATTTACTCAAATTCAAATAATAATTTTGAGAAAGATCTAGTTTAGAATCAAAATGAAAATTTTAGCATGAACATCTTTCTTTTAGCATTACATTATACATTCATACCATCAATAAGTCGAGCATCACCTAAAATTTAGATAAAATATCATTCAAGATATTTAAAATTGTCCCTGTAACCTAAGCAAAAACTTGTGAAGAATGTCATCATTTCTAACTCAATAATTGGATTTAGAGTCTCCTAACATAAAATCAGGAATTTTATTTATGTTCATTTATGAGATTATATTTTTCCCATACCTGAATCAGCCTGTAGAACGGTTCTTTCTGACATCGTTAACTTTCCCACTTGGCTGTTGCTGGAGGTGCGGATGCTGTAAAACATAATCATCCATGAGTTTCACAATCCTGTAAGATAATCAGGGGGGGATATTCCAAAGAAGATAACTTGGAGAATTTTACACTGACCTTGAGTAGAGCACGGCCAGAATCCACAACAACAGACCCAGCAGACTCTGGTAGTCAAAGCTGTTCTTGACGTAGTCCCCACTGTCAGAAGCTGTCAGGGTGCCATTTGTAAAGCTCAGGTTGGGGTTGCAAGTTGTGTCTAAAAAGTTAAAAAATGAAAACTTAACAATAGACAGTTACAAGTAGCTATAAAACAAATCAATGCAAGTTGCATAAAATATTTAGGGCTTGTGTTATATATGGTAGCAATTCAAAAGAAAATAAAGTTTGAAATATGTGCATGTTTACATAAAAAAAAGGAAACATATGATTACATGATTTTAAAAAAAAAAAAACTTTATAATATAGTCCTATGTATGAATGTGTTCTGGGGGAGGTGAAGGGGTAAGACATATACCTGGATTGTTCGACATGGCAGACCAGGTGAGGTACATTATGTACAGAGTAATAATGGAGGACTGCAGCAGGCCAGAACGAGGGTTCACTGAAAAAAATATATACCCACAATATAAAGATGGAATTTTTTCTATTTCCTGATTTTTTATTTGAAGTCATCTCACACGAATAATTTTACAAATAAGGTTTTCTTACCATCTTGGATTTTGGGTAAGATGGCTATGACAGAAATAGCGACAGCCAGGATCAGATTAAAACTGATGAAGAACTTGTGTAAGCCACAGCTCTCAGCCTGTGAAGAAAAAACAAATAACAAGCTGAATTTCTGTGTACATTGAGATGACAGTGATTTTACGGATGTTGATGGCATTTGAACTTGCTCTCTGGTATACCATGTGCTATGCATATCCTTAAAAGTTGGAAGTTTCAAGAGAAAAAAATACCCCCCGCTGGGTTTTTCAGAGAAGGCGCCAATTCAAAAATACTGTATGGATCTAGAGGTGTTCACAATTTACTTACAAATATTTGCAGTGAAATATTATTGCTCATCATGTTTCTTAATGAATGAAACAAAGGTGCAACCAAATGAAACATCAATACTAATACAATTTAATTCCATTGTAACATTTTTTTTTTATTTTTTCATTTTATTTTTTTTATTTCTGCATTAAAAAAATATATTGCAATTATGTGTTATGTCACTCTGCAAACTGATTGTTGAAAAAAAACCATTATACAAAATCAAATTAATCTTGATATGTCAATTTGAAATGCATTTTGAAAATAAAGAGCTGGTCATCCAGTAATGAAGTGCTTTGACAGACAATAAATTACAATTAAGAGAATAAGAGAAGAGAGATCTTTAATTCTTGTGCCTTATTCCCTGGAGATTAGATAACACACACGCTTGATAAGAGATATGCCTTAACAACTTCCAACACCAAACTCATTAATTTATCTTTAACTGGATGCATGTCCAGTCATTATTCCCAAGAGACAAATGAAATTACATTATCTTCTGTGCAATGTAAAAACTGTTTTTAACACTTGATGATGTTTCTTTTTTTTAAGTTTTTATGAGTAGTTTTAAGCTGTAGTATTTTTGAACAGATATTCTAGATTCTATATCTCAAACCTTATACATGAGCCCAAAATGAACAAGTCAATTAAAATAAAAAATAAAACCTGTAAAATGCAAAAAAATTAACAAAAAGAGTTGAAAATTCCAGGTGCACACCTTCATATGGTGAATAATAAGTGTACAAATTTTCAGATTAATCCTTGCAATAGTTTCTGAGAAACGGTCCAGACAAAACCACAAAATAAAAATGAAAAAACACCTGTAAAATTCAAAATAATAATCCAATCAAGATGAAAATATCAGGTGCACAACTTCATATGGTGAATAATATGTGTAAAAATTTTCAGACAAATCCTTCCAATAGTTTCTGAGTAATGGTCCGGACAAAATCTCGTCTACAGACAGACAGACAGACAGACGGACGGACGGACAGAAGGACAGACGGACAGACGGACATGGTGATTCCAATATACCCCCCTAAACTTCATTTGCGGGGGGTATAATAATTCCTCTATGCAAAAAAATAAACCCTTGCACAGAATTGAAGGACTTAATTGACTTCTTGTTACGACAGAGTTTGTGACACAGTTACCAGCTACTGTACTTGAACATTGAAATGCATTATAAAGAAACAGTAATAAATTCCTGATAGGGTAATGCATTTTAAAAATCTGAGAGTTTAGTCAAACAATTATTTTTTTCATAATGTATAAAACAAGTATTTTACCTCAGAACACACTGTATACATGTACCGGTATGTGTAAGTACTATCTGGTTTATTCCCCCTTTTATGTCTTTTTCCTTTCGATCACACAACTCTTTCTCTCTTGCATGTATGTTCATTGTATTAACTATATACATGTACATATGTACAAATATGGGAATACACAGATTAAATATACCTACACTGCCATAGTAGACATAAAACAGGACAACTGCCACAATGGCCAGGGTATAAAACAGAAAGGTGAAGAACAACAAGCCTGTAAAGAAAATAAATAAAGACAAGGCAATATCATCTGTTGGGAAACTTTTAGATAATGATAAATCTTAATGAGTATCAGGTGCAGAACAGTTGTATAATCATTTACAAATTAGTATGAAGTTAAAGTTTATCACTGAGGAAGATAGCAAGATTTCAGTTTCCTAAGGCCAGAACAAATCAATTTGCTGAGGTGAGTTTCTCTGATTTTTCAGCATTACTCAAAAACGGGGACAAAAGATTTATAGAAAAAAAGTTAATGTATTGATCAATCAAAGATTTTTTTGAATTATTATTATTTAATTACATACTTGTCCTTGTGTATTATTACATAAAAATGCAAATTAGGATTTAAAGGCATGCAAACAAAGTTTTGAATTAAATATTTTCTAAAAGTAAGCATCTAAAATATAGCAAGGGTTCAGCTTACCAAAATAATAGCATTTAGCTTCTGTTTCTTCGTATTTCTCCACCCAGCTCTCTGCCCAGCCATGCGCGAAGTCAATCAGGAGAATCAGCTGGATGATGATAAAGAGGAAGGCTCCAATCAAACCAATGTACATCCAGGCTGTAACAACCAATCAGATCATTCCACAGATAAATAGCCTTAAGGGGTTTCAAAACTTTGACATTTCTTTCCTTGCCACTTGCTTTTAATTTTAAGTCATTAAAAACAATACCTTT